CATGATCTCGGGCCTGGGATCCAGTCCTGCGTCGGGCTCCCGGCTCAGCGGAGAGTCTGCTTCTCTTTTTGGCTCTGCCACTAACCCCCCCAACTCATGTTCTCTCTCTCTAATAAATAAAATCTTTAAAATAAAATAACATAAAATTTGGGGCACCTGGGTGGCCCAGTGGCTGAGTGTCTGCCTTCAGCTTGAAGTGTGAATCCGGGATCCTGGAATTGAGTCCCACATCGGGCTCCCTGGGTGGAGCCTTCTTCTCCCTCTGCCTATGTCCCTGCCTCTCTCTCGTGTCTCTCGAATAAAAAAATAAAATCTTTAAAAAAATAAAATTTGAGGGCCCAAGCTTTGTTAATACAGGTTATATCCATTAATACTTATAAGAAAAAAAATTAAAAAAAATAAGATAAAATTGCAAATGACCCCTACAGCTGTATTAAACATGTGCTTTAGATAATTACAAAATAACCCCTCTATATGTTAGCTTAGTTCCCATATTTTTATGAAAAATAGTTTCAAAGACATAAACATTAAGTGAGACAAGTGGGATTGTTCCACATGTTTGCAAACATTTTAAAGCCGGGCTTAATTTAATGGAAGACAGCTGGATTGTCCTGTCTGTTGCTTCATTCTACTGGTTGTAATTAATAATGTGGACCTCACAGACCCTCTGAAAAGGTCCCGGGGACTGTGCTTGGGGGACTCCCTGGAGGCAGCGGGGATTTTCTCCAAATGCCTCCACAGCAATGAAGTGTCCTGGCAGCAAAGGATCTATTCATTAACACCAGGATGGCCCAAGCAACTGTTCTGATACGTGAGGTGCTGCCCCAACGGCCTCTACTCTTGCTTGGGCAGAGCAGGAGACTCCATGGGCTGTAGGTCTTAGATGTCCCATCTCGTCTCAGCTTCGAGCTGCTGAGTGAGGACGCGGTCATCTGATCCTGAACTCAAGGCTGGATTTTGTTGCTCAAACATTGTGGCTTCTGCTTCGGAGTAAATCAACAAGGAAGCTTGTTGCAACATCTAAAAGGACGGGTCCTCGGCCATGCGTTGTGCTCACAGAGCAGGTTCTGTGACTGCAGAGGACGTCTTTGCTAGTAAGTGATGGCCCACGGCCCACAGTCCAGTTCACTTGCACTGCCTGGGCCACCCCTCAATCCCCCACCCCCCTAGCAAGATCTGTGCATCTAGCACTCACCACTGAAGGTGACTTGGATCTACAGCAAAATGGAACCTGGTGGTGAGTGACATGCCATGGTCATTTTAGGACAGAAATCCCATCCCACTGTCATGCTGGTCCAGGAGAGGGGAGGCGGCTCAGGCCAAAGTGATGGGGTACAGTGCTCGAAGCAGTGGGACTCTGGCTAGAGCAGCCTATACTGATGGGTGACTATGGGGTTAGGGAAGGAGGGGGTCATGCTGCTGAGGATTTTAAAGGCACCTGAAAGGATGGACAGGACAGTTTGCAGGGGAGGCTGACTCCTCCTCCCTCAACAAGAGGAGTCACCATCGGGCAGCCCCGGTGGCTCAGTGGTTTAGCGCCACCTTCAGTCCAAGGTGTGATCCTGGAGACCCGGAATCGAGTCCCAGGTCAGGCTCCCCACATGGAGCCTGCTTCTCCCTCTGCCTGTGTCTCTGCCTCTCTCTGTCTCTAATGAATAAAAAAAAAAAAAAAAAAAAAAAAGAGTCACCATCAGCTCAGTCCCATTCTAGGCCACCTGGGAACTTCCCACACCCAGAATGGCTTGTGGGGGAGGCTCCAACAAAGGCCCACAGGAGCCATTCAGGGAGGGAGGGAGGGGGCTCACCATGTTTGCTCTGTACTAAAGACCCTGTGGCAGCAGTCACTTGACTCAATGTGCAAACAGGTCCAGGAAATGTATTCTTTTAAAGAATGTTGATTGAGTGTTTACTAAGACCTTGAGCTAGACCCTGGAGATAGAGCCAAGTAGGACATGGTGCCAGGCCTCCTGAACCCTAGCATTTGAGAGGAAATAATACCTGCCCCCTTCAAAATAGATGGCTCTGGACTGTGTATTCCTTCTTCCAGAAATATTAAGATCTATGTGTAGGGCAGCCTGGGTGGCCCAGAGGTTTAGCGCCACCTTTGGCCCAGGGTGTGATCCTGGAGACCCAGAATCAAGTCCTGCGTCAGGTTCCCTGCACAGAGCCTGCTTCTCACTCTGCCTGTGCCTGTGTCTCTCTGTGTCTCTCATGAATAAACAAAATCTTAAAAAAAAAAAAAAGAAGAAGATCTGTGTGTAAAATGCTGGAGATACTGGAAAAGACAGGCTGTCCAGTGCTAGAGATTGACATTAAATAGGTGGTTGCAAGGGACTTGTGTGCAAGACAGTGGACTCAGTAACAGCTCAGCTCACAGAACGTAAACAGCAGCTATCTGGGGAGAGGCCAAGCTGACAAGTGCTCTGGGAGCAGGGATAAGACTGCAGAGAAGAATCCGGTCTGAATTGCCCCTGGGATAAAAGACTCAAATAAGCCGAGATGGTGGTAGGACATTCCAGGAGGGGCCCTGAAGCTGATAAGTTACTAGAGGTGGGATAGTGAAGGACAACACCCTGGGCCCAGGAGCCCAGGATACTCCATCTCCACCGTAAAGATCCCCTCAGACAATGAGTCTTAGAAGAACTGTTTGCAGATCAAGGACATTTTGTCACAAACAGTAACAGCCAGTGAGGAAGGATGGGAAAGGAGGAAATATTAATGTTTTATTGTACTCAGACCCTTTACCTCCTATCAAGGTCACTCCTTGGGTTTTATGTAGCATTAATCCTCCTGTTTCTGTTCCAAATTTTGAAATAAACTTTATGGAATGAGACAGACATGAAAAAAGCTAGCGTTTAATGAGTGCTCAGAAAGTGCCAGGTGCTGCCACGGGGCCCTCCGCTACCTCTTGGTGCCACCTTCTCGTGTTGTATCATTTACAAGAGTGCAGTTGATGAGGAGTTGGCCCTCTTTAAAAGGCGGTAATCATGGGTTCCCTTAGTGTGGTCAGGACTTCAATCTACACATTGCTGAGTGACCTCTGGCCACTCTTCTCAAACTATTTCTTCATCCGTGAATGGATGATAACGCCAACTCTACAGACTTAAGAGGCGTTAATGGAATGATCATATTTGGTCAGTGTACAGCATCCAGCCCGACCCTGGGCACAGGGTAGGTGATCACGGTCCACCCTCCCAACAAACAAACACACACTGTTTTTCTGGGACCACACCCCACAGTGGAAGCACAGAAAATCAGAGAACGAGGCAAGAGCATCATGTTGCCCCTTCCTCCGCTGGGTGGCCTTGGGCAGGTCCCCCTGCCTGACCCCAGGGCTTCTCAACTGTAAAGGGAATGTAACTGGCCTCTCCTCACAGCATTGTTCTAATAGTTCAAGAGGGAGGGCCTCCTATAGGGCCATGGCAATAGTCATCACAAAGGTCTTAAGGGGATTTCCAGGTTGGTTGCTTCTCTGTCTCCCGTGAGGACAAAATCCTGGAATTAAAAACAGTCCTCTTTGTAGAGGTTCTGGCTTCTCTACCTGGGACACAAGGTACGAGCAGAATCTGAACACAGAATTCTGGCCTGCTCCTGGGTATTGGGCAATCTAAGACAGCAGAAAGAAAAACGTGTACCAGTGACTGTGTGGTCTGAGATGGCTTCAGGCTCCCTAGCTCGAGAGCAGGGAAGAAGAGAGGTACACAGAATCTTAAGTCCTTCTGTTCTAAAATCCCGAATTTCTGCTCACAAATCCTGTCACCTTTACTGCGGCGGAAGCCTCCATCACATGTGTCCAATCTACATGAAGGCTGGTCAGCAATCTCCTGGGCTTCTGAATTGCTTCCTTGTCTTCTCATAGTGACTGATTGGGATTTGAAGAGGGTGGCTTGTCTGCTTAGGGGATGGCTGCTGTTCTCAGCTGAAGGTGGCACAATGTTGGGAAACCCCAAACAGGAACCTCAGGTAGAAAAGGAAAATATAAAAACAGCAGGGATTATCTGCCAAGAGGGACCCCTGCTCCCATGGGAACCCCAAGCCTCCAGCAGTGATCCTCAAAGTGTGGTCCAGGGCCAGCAGCACCAGCAGCACCCAGGAACTTGTCAGATCGCCACATTCTGGGCCACCCGAGATGTACTAAATCAGAAACCCTGGGACTGGAGACTCCCAAATGGCTAAGCAAACCAACCACCTATTTTAAAGCGTAAGGTCCTAAGCTCAGGAAGTGCAAGTGCAGAAGAACCACGAGTCAGCAGCACCCAGGTCCAGCGGGTGGGATCCAAGGCGAGTGGCTGATCGGCTCTCAGCTTGTTTCCCCAGTAAAATGCAGATAATACCAGTAGAATCAGCATTCCCGGGGTTAGCAGGAACGCACGTGTGGGCTGGACGTGGCGGTGACTATCTGCTGAGGTCTTTGGCGTTTGCTTAAAAGTCCCAGAGGGCCTCCCTGGACACTCCCAAGTCCTGTAAACCCTCTCCAGTCCCCTGTGCGTGTTTGCCCAGGATGCAAAGAAAGCTGACGGATCCTGCCCACCCACCCCCGCAAGACCCGGAGACGCCACGTCCGGGCAGAGACCAGGTGGGCCTCCCGCTCACTGACCCCTCTTGGGTCGTGGGGTCGCGCTGCGACACCTGGATGCCCGCATCCTGTCCAGGGCTCGCCCCACGTGGACGGGCGCCAGGCCCTCGGCACCCTAACCCGGCGCTGCCTTGGATCCCCACCGCGTCCACCCTGAGGTCCTGGCCCCGCCCACCCGGAGGTCCTGGCCCCGCCCGACCGGAAGTCTTGGTTCCGCTCGACCGGAAGTCTTGGCCCGGCCGCGGGAGGTCCCGGCCCCGCCCTGCCGGAAGTCTCGGTCCCGTCCAGCTGGAAGTCCCCGTTCCTCTCGGCCTGAGGTCCTGGCCACGCCCAGCTGGAGGCCTGGCCCCGCCCTGCCGGAAGTCCCCGCCCCGCCCTGCCGGAAGTCCCGGCCGCACCCGGCCGGAGGCGGGAAGAGGCGGGGCAGCGCCGCCCGCGGCGGGAAGGGCCGCTGACGGGGTGGGGTCGCTCGCCTCTCCCCGCGCGGCCTCTCCCCCGCCCGGCTCGCGGTCGCGCTCCCGCCTCGGGGTGGCCGCGGGGCCGCGGGCTCGGGCTCCGGCCGCCATGGGCAACAAGCAGACCATCTTCACCGAGGAGCAGCTGGACAACTACCAGGTGAGCCCGCTGAGGCGTGACCTCGGGCGGGACTCCAGCCTCAGTTTCCCCAGCCTTGCGTTGAGGGCGGGCGCGCCGCGGGGGGCGAGCCAGCCCTCCCCGGGCAGCTCTGCCGCTCCCGCCGTGCGCGTCCTCGGCGGGCACTGACCGTGGGCTGGAGCGAGGGCCCGCAGCGCAGGAGACGTGGTCTGTGCGGACCCGAAGCCACCGGGGTCCCGCCTGGCTCGGGCGGGCGCGTCCGCTCCTGAATGCAGGCTTAGGTTGGTGTGTTGTCTGTCTGTTGGGGTCTTTCCCTCCGGCCCCAGCATGGAGATGCTTGGAGCAAGGAGGCAGGCCAGGTGCTGGTTCCCCGGGCCCCTCGGCAGCTACACCCTCCCACCTCCCTGTCCCCCGCCAGACCCCGCTGGACCCCCCCGTCCAGAGCCAGGAGGCCGGCTGGAGCGAGATCCACAGCCCGCTGCCCACAGTTTCAGGACGGGGTGCAGGATGAAGACCCCCTGATGGCTTGGGGGGTTCCTGGTGCAGGATGAAGCCCCACAGCCTGACCCGCGGGCTCCTGCAGCCTCCCACACCCCTCCCCTGCCCTGTGCCCTGCAGCCACCCTGGACTGTCCACAGCTCCCTTGAGGCACCAGGCTCTCTCCTCCCTCCCTTGGTGGGTGCTCTTCCTCGGTGGAGGCCCTACTGGATGCCCCCACCCCACTCCCACTCCTGGGCAGGGGCGCAGGTGCAGTGTGTGCTGTGGGGAGATGAGCACCGCCTGCTGCCTTCGCCAGTTTTTATTTTGGTAATGGACTTGACATGTGAGTCCTGTGATGTGGACAGAGGTGAAGAAAGGCCCCTTTGCCTCAGAAACCCTGGCTGTCAACAGTTGTCAGCTCCACGTGAGGCCCTGGGAAGGCGCCAGAGCCACACTCGTGGGCGCCTGCTGTGTACCAGGCCCCAGAATGGGTGCCCTCACAGCGGGTGGTTATCACCTGTGTTCCAGAAGAGTAGACGGAGGCTGAGGAGCCCGTCCCTTCAGGTTAGTTTGGGGGCAGGGCCTGTGTGAGCTGGGTGTCCTGGAGTCCTGCCAGCCAGCCTTCCTAGAGGCCAGCCTTCCCAGCCTGCCCTAGGGGAGGGCCTTAGTGGGCTGCGGAGTGCCAGGAGGGAAGGGGGGCTTTTGCTCTGCAAGGTTCAGAGATGGTGCAGGCTTGGAGGTGGGCACAGCCAAGTTCGTAGACCATGCTCACAAGTGAAGAGTGGCCCCGTGGGGGTGAGAGCCTGGGTTTCCACTCAGACCAGCCTGGCATTGGGTTACGGGTTACCCTTTGGAGCCAGGCCCAGTGTTGGGTTGTGATCCTCCTCCAGGGCCACACAGGCTGGAGAAATGAGAGCTGAAGAGACCTGAGAGCCCCAGCCCCCCTCCCTCTGTCCACTGGCCCCTCGCCAGCCAGTGCCCCAGTTACTGCCACCAACCCCCCTCCCCATCCCCAGGGAACCTGAGAGCCCCAACACCCCTCCCTCTGCTGTCCAGCCAGCCAGCCCCATGCCAGACAGGGCCCCAGTTATAGACACCCCACCCCCATGCAGGTGCCAGTGACTCTTAAGTGCAGGCTTCTCTCCAGACTCCTCTGCCTTCCTGATCAATCGATCCATCCCCCAAACCCTTCAAACTACAAAACAGGACCCAGCCTTCCCCAGAACCCACCACTGCTGCTTTGGCCCTGCTCTCTGCTCTGTTCTCAGGCAGCTCAGTTAAGAGCAAGTCCTGTAACTCACCTGTGGACTCCCCTCTTCTCTCCACCTAAGGATCCAAAGCAAGACAGAAATTTGAATGATTACAGACCTTTTCTTTTGCCAACGCCACCAAGCTACTCAGAACCCTGAGAACCTTTTAAGGTTCCTGCCATGTTGATCCCCTGTAAGCTACCTTCTTGCGATGAGTCAACAGAGGACAAAGCAAAACGTCAGTTGATGAGCTGGTTCATGGCAGCTTTGTTGGTAATGTTGAAAACCTAGAGGCACGGGCAGCCCAGGTGGCTTAGCAGTTTAGCACCACCTTCAGCCCATGGTGTGATCCTGGAGACCTGGGATCGAGTCCCATGTCGGGCTCCCTGCCTGGAGCCTGCTTCTCCCTCTGCCTGCGTCTCTGCCTCTCTCTCTCCTCTTTGTGTTTCTCATGAATTAAAAAAAAAAAAAAGAAAGAAAGAAAGAAAACCTATGGGCAGCTGTTGCATGTGTTCAGAGAGGAGAGAGGTTAGGGTAGGCAGGGCCAATGTCTTCACTGACACCTTCAGTCAGTGAGAGGCTCCACATATGTGGAGGCCTGATTCCTCATACCACCTGCCATATTGAGCACACACAAGGTGCCAGGTCCCGAGATAACACAGCAGATGCAGTCAGCATACAGTGGTCATGGGTGGGCTCTGTTCCCAATGGACTGTGGTCAAGAATCACAAAGGCCTGAGTTGCAGTCAGTCCTGGGCTGCATGTGCAGCTGAGAGCCAGCTAACCACTTCACTGAACCTCAAATTTCTCACCTACAGAACGGGGACAGAATGGGGAGATAACACCAGTCCCCCTCCCCCACCATGGCTAATGATGAGGATTGAACAAAATTGGGTAATCAGAGCCCCTGTGGACCAGGCCTGTGATGGTCATGGCCTGGTGGGGGTGTGGTTCTCAGCCTGGGCTGTATAGTGCAGCCGCCGGAAGAGCTCTGAAAACTCTGATGCCTGGCTCTACCTCAGGGATTCTGCTTTAATTGACCTGGTCCGTGCTGAAAGAGGGCACAGGAGCTCCCCAGGTGATTCTGCTCTAGAGCTGAGGCCCTCACTTTAGCAGGCATCGGCATCACTGGGAATGGAGGATCTTTTATTTATTTTTTATTTTTTTAAAGATGTATTTATTTATTCATGATAGACACAGAGAGAGAGGCAGAGACACAGGCAGAGGGAGAAGCAGGCTCCATGCCGGGAGCCGGACGTGGGACTCGATCCCGGGACTCCAGGATCGCGCCCTGGGCCAAAGGCAGGCGCCAAACCACTGAGTCACCCGAGGATCTTTTAAAGATGCAGATTCCTGCCCCCTCTCCCCCAAGTTGGTGATTCAGTAGGTTTGGAGTGGGCCCTGAGAATCGGGTCTGCTGATCCAGGAAGCACACCTTGAAGAGCATTGACATAGTTAGGTATAAGTGGTTTTGATAAGGGACCAGGGTCCTGTGAGAAGCTTTTTCATCTTTTGCTTGTGGGGCCCTTGGTTTGGGACCCAGACTCTTCCTTCCCAGGGCAAAGGAGAGAGGACAGGCCAGGGGGACAGAGCAGAAGTCAGGCCTCTCCCTGTTCTGGTTATGCTGACACCCCCGCCAGGCTGGTGGGGAAAGCCCTGGCCCTTCTCACTATCTCCTTCAGGCCACAGAACCAGCCTGGGGGCTGAGGGAGGTCTGCCCCTGGGGCCTGCTCCAGGTATCTAGGTCTTTAGGTAATCAGTCCACACAGTCCATGCTGGTCTGAGTCTTAAGCCTGCAGGGTATCCATGCTTGGTGGGGAGGAAGCAGAGGAGCTATGGCCTAAAGCCAAGCCTCACCCTCCAGGTGGGTAGGCAGCATAAGGGCTCTTAGTCTACCTTTTGGGTAGTGGCATGTGGCCCAGAAGGTCACACTGACTATGTGGAGCCTACCAGCCCCCCTCAGCTCTACCGTAGGCACCCAGTGGGTCCCTGGATGTTTGCCCAGTCACCTGTGCCCAGTCACTTGCCCAGTCCAAGCTGCTCCAGTGCCTAGTGGCTTTAGGTCTCATCCTGGGCAGGCCTGGCTGGCTGCAAGGCTGGACTGCAGCCGTGAGCCCCTCGTTAGAGCCAGCTCTGGTCAGCACGCTGCCCCAGGAGGCTCTGGGCTCAACAGAGCCTAAGTGCTGCGTTCCTTCATGGGGCAACAGCTGGCAAAGCTAGAGGGGCCAGGGAGCAGGGATAGGCACAAAGGCCTTTTGCTGCTGGGATCTTTTCACCTCCATACTTAACCATCGTGGCCTGGAATAGTGGCCATCATCACCAGGCAGGCCATCCAGACAAAGGCAAGACACCAGAAATGAGTCCATGAGCGGGCAACCTTAGGATCTGAGAACTGCCCCCACCCTGGGAAATGCCTGCCCGAGGGTCCCTGGAAGCCTCTGCCCTTGCGTCTGTCCAGATGGCAGCAGTTCCTCCCTGCCCACCTGCCTCCTTGATCCTACTTTCCCACACTCTTTCCCACACTCCTAGCCTCCACTGTCTCCCATGTGACCTCATCTAATTCCTGCAGCTTCAGATGCTAGATAGATGCTGTAGCTTGTCCAGCCTGTGTACCTGGAACCCTCTGTCTGTGCACATGAGCTGCTGCCCACAGCCACACACACACAGTGCTACGGGGCTATAGTGTGGATGGCGCACCCCTGTGGCCCTTACACCTGACTTGTCTCGCAGCCCCTCTCTCTGCTGTCCCACAGGGCAGTCCGCAAATCAGTGGCTTCCACCTTTGACCATTCTATTTGCCTGTGAATGAGCTCCCTCAAGGAGCTTCACAGTCCCCCACCCCATGCACATGGTTCCTGGGCCAGGTCAAGAGCTTCAGGAGGCCGCTTCCAGGGCCCTTTGGGCCAGGGACTGGGTAGGGCAGGGGTTGGGGCAGGCCAGGGAGGGGCAACAGTGAGTCTTTTGCCCCAGGGCCTTCCTGTGAGATCCTGAGGGGAAAAGGAGCCTGAGACTTGCAAGGGACTGTGTGTGTGTGTTTTCCCTTTGCAGGACTGCACCTTCTTCAATAAGAAGGATATCCTCAAGTAAGTGGCTTCTCGGTCATCCTTCGGAGCTGGGGTGGGGGCTGGGGACCTCGCAGGTCTGGCTGTGCTGGCTGGAGGTGTGGACGACCATCAGCCAGGCGGCCGTGAACTCGAGAGCTCCCCACCCGCCTGAGCCCACATCCTTCTGCCAGGAATCGAGCATCTCTGAACTGTGCGCCAGGCTCCAGGCTCCGTGGTGGGTGGTTTCAGGCACCTTTTCATTTTATCCTCACTGTAACCATGTCACAGGAGAATCCTTTTATCCCCACTTTGCGGATGAGGCTAGCAAATGGCCAGTCACTTAGCCAGGACCCAAAGATCTGGCCCATGGCTCCAACTCTGATGTCTTCCTGCTCCTGGGAGGTCCAGAAGTCCAGGCCCTGGCCTGTATGCCCATAGCACCCGTGAGCTGCCCACGAGCTCTTCACTTTCCAGGGCAACCCCATTCTTTGGCTTTGATGGGAGAGATGAGGAGGGGCTGGCAACTTAGGGCCCCAGGATCAGATAGCACGACCCACAGAATGCCAGGAAACCTGGCCCCAGGAGCCTTGCAGGCCCTGGGCCTGAGTTACCAGGTGGCATTAAAAGCTGGCAAGGTCACAGGACTACTTGCTTTCCCTGGAGGTCTCAGGGCAGGCTGGGGTAGAGCCAGTAACAGCTTCCCAAGCAAGCTGTGCTGTGTCACTGTCCTGACCACTGTGCTCAGATGGCAGTGTCCCTTGGCCTTTCTCTGCCCAGGCTGCTCTTCAACCTGTTGCCTGGGTAGATAGGGACACCCACTTTCACCACCGTGGAGAGGCAGGGTGAGAGGACAGGCCCCAAACTGTGGCTGCCTCCCACAGCCCTGGCCTGCCCAACTCTGAACCCTTTAGCACCCCAGCCTCTGTAGCTCAGCCCAGAGCCCGAAGTAGACCTGGATTTCAAATGGGGAGAAAGCACCCCTCCTAGCAGCTGGATGTCCCCCTAATTCCCTGCTGCATACTCTGGTTCATTTGGGGCTCTGCCACAGTGTTAATGCTCACTGGAGACCCAAGGGGCCAGGCCTGGTGCTGCCTCTGCAGAGTGGTGGTGTTGAGAGGAAGATGATTGTAGCAGCTGCTGGGAAGGACCGTGGAGATAGCAGTGTTCCCTGGAGCTGTCTCCTGCCCCAGCCCCTGTGGCTGGGAGGCCCTGGGCACAACACAGGCTACCTGGGGTCATGGGGCCTCTCCATGCACCTCAGGAAGGGTGGTGAGACCAGGCAGTGCGTGGGATAATTGTCTCTGGAGGAACCACGATAGCTCTGTTACCAGTTTGGCGCTTTCACTTTTGTCCAGCTTTCTCTCTAGGCCCCAGCAAGGGCCAGGAGGACTTAACCAGGAACTGACCACCCTTGCTGAGTGAGCCCCCTCCACTGTTCACATCTCAAGTCCAGGCAGGGCAAGGAGAGGGCCAGCAGCAGAGCCAGGCCCCAGACGCAGGGCCCTCCTCCCCCTCACCCCCAGCCCACCATTGCTGGTGAGCTGCACCCTGAGTATTCACCAGATGGCGGGATGAAACCTGAGCAGCAGGTTCCTTGCAGCCCTGGGTCATTGATAACTATCAAACTGTCGGGAAGGCCTCTTCGACCACCCTGCCCCCGCCTCAGTGGATCCAGTTGCGGTCAGGGTACAGCTTTTCCACCCCTAACACTGGGCCTCAGTGGGCAATGCCCCCTCATCCCCTCTGATTTACCCCTCTTCCTTCCTGTGGGTATGCTTGACTCCCCTCTGCCCACAGGGAGCCTATGCTCCCCAGTGAGTCCTTGCCCCTCAGGGCACCCAGTGGTGCTTGCCTGGGTGTTAATTTATCATGCTTTAGTTTTCCCGCCATTTTCAGAATTTGTGTTGTTTGTTTTAATTACTTATAATTTTTTTTACGTCCTATGTGATACATGATGACTCCAGAAAAATTCTAAAATAAAGCCAATCAAGAGAAGACAAAGTGTTACCCCTAATCCTGCTCCTCACAGAGAATAACCATTAAACCCTTCTGTGTATTGAACCTTGTGGTATGTATCAGTCCAGTATTTTTCCTTTGAGAGTGTGTATCAAAATTTTGTATCATGTTGTTTTATAATTTACTTAAAATTACTCTTCCTTAGGCAAAATGTAAAAATAGGTAAAAAAAAGAAATGACCTGGCCATGTTATCAATTCATTTAGTTGGACACGTAGATTTTCTGCACATCACCATTATAGTTAGCGCTGCAGTGAATGGCCTCATGGCACTACGACTATAACTCACACCTCAGATTATTTCTTTGAGATAAATTTCCAACAGGTTTCTGTATTAAAAGGTATAGGCACTTTTTAAGTCTTTTGATTTTTACTGCTGATCCGCCATCCCAGCCCTGTGCCCATGCCGCCAGCCACCTCCAAACCCCCCGGCACACTGGCTGTCTGTATCTTTGTCTCCTGCCCCCAAGTCATTCACTTTCCCAAGGTCCTCTCACTCGGCAGGGCAGAGATGTGCCGTACATAAGTGGAGCCCCGTCGGGGAGTTGCTGTAAGAGGGTTCTCTGGTCCCCTCCCCAGTCCAGGGGTTGGTTGCCTTGGGCAGATCCAGATTCTTCATCCAGGGCTTTCATTTGTAGGTTTGGGCAACTATAAAACCTATATTTTAGTTAAACTTAGTTATTGTTAACGTGCACGCTTGGCCTAAATGTGGACCACCAGTCTGTGACTTCCAGAAGAATCCAAGTGTCTGTGATTTCCAGTGCTGTTTGCTATGGACTGTCTTCCCTCACACTGGGCATCCCTGGGCTGTGGGGTGACCTGCTGTTCTTCAAACTGTTTTCACATCCCAGAGGCCGATACTCCCCAGACATCCTTCCTTCAGGGCCATCCCCACCCTCCTGCATTTATTCTGCCCCACAAACCTGTGAATCATGTCACATGTTCTTGTAAGTTCTTAAATCATTCCATTGCAGATTGTGGTTAAGATTGTATTCATTTGGGCAGCCCGGGTGGCTCAGCGGTTTAGTGCTGCCTGCAGCCCAGGGCATGATCCCAGAGACCTGGGATTGAGGCCCACATCGGGCTCCCTGCATGGAGCCTGCTTCTCCCTCTGTGTCTCTGCCTCTGTGTGTGTGTATGTGTGTATGTGTGTCTCATGAATAAATCAAATAAAATCTTAAAAAAAAAAAGATTGTATTCATTTTGCAGGACAATGAAGAAATAGTTGTCACGATTATAAGATTCTGCCTAAATATGTTATATCTTCTACACACTTTGTATTTATCTTATACTTCGTTTTTCTGGGGGATTTTGGTGTGTTTTTTTCCTATTGTGAATTAGGTCTTTTATATATATCTTATTTTTGGTTTTTAAAGATTTTATTTATTCATGAGACACACAGAGAGGGAAGCAGAGACGTAGGCAGAGGAAGAAGCAGGCTCCATTGCAGGGAGTCCGATGCGGGACTCCATCCCAGGACCCCAGGATCATGACCAGAGCCAAAGGCAGATGCTAAACTGCTGAGCCACCCGGGAGTCCCTGTATCTTTTTTTATTTTTATTTTTGCAAGATTCTATTTATTTATTCATGAGAGACAGAGAGAGAGAGAGAGAGACAGAGAGACAGAGACACAGGCAGAGGGAGAAGCAGGCTCCATGCAGGGAGCCTGTGGGACTTGATCCCGGGTCTCTAGGATCATGCCCTGAGCTGAAAGCGGCCCTAAACCGCTGAGCTACCCAGGGATCCCCTCTTATTTTTTAATATGCTGATGTGGGTACAAAGAAAACTTTTGTGTAGAAGGGCTGCTGAGCCCTTTCTCATTCAGATGGTTTTTAAATTGATTATTTTTGGTTTTGGCAAATACTTTGCCTTCTCCTTTCCAATATTTACACATACTGCCTGCCCCTCTCTGATGACATTAACCAGGGCTCGTGGGCAGATACCATGTAACGATAGTGACAATGGGCGCCCTGTTCTCCTGGACACATCTCTGGCAATTCACAGTTTAAGTATGGTATTGACAATGTAGAGTATCCTTTTTTTTTCTGTTTCATGGAGGATTTTAAGATTTATTATTGATAAAAGTTAATACTTTAAAAATACTTGTTTGTATAAATAAATACTCTAAAAATTCCAGCAGTTCAGCCGTGGGTGAGGTAGTAAGTGGCAGCCAGCCCCTTCCCCTCCCTCCTGTCTGCTCTGACCTTGTGGGGGCCATCGCTGTAAATATGGGGTGAATACTATTGGGTTTTTTTCTGTGTTCATATAACCATGCAGTCACAAATGCAGCTACTGAGTTAATTAAAAAAATTTTAACCTATTCATATGATTTGTAGTCACAGATTTTCAAACTCTGGTCTGTCCTTGCACTCCTGGCAGGAGTCCTCTGCGGCCCGAATGCTTGAATCTAATAGCACTGTTGGACTTGATGTGCTAGTACTGTCCAGGGTGTGTGTATCACGTGTGTGATGCCGTTGGCCCGCTGTGCACACTGCCCGTTGGGTTCAACTGGCAGGGTGCTCGTTCACTCTCTAAAATAGTTGGGGAGGCATCTACTGGTTTGCCCTGTGCTCTGAAACGGCCCACGTAGCACGGAGGCTGGGTGCAAAGGGTAGGGAGGCCTGCCCCTGGGCCTGACAGCGGACTCCCAAGAGTTTCCCAGAAGTCACGGCTTGCGCAGGCAGGAGGGGTAGCAGGGATGTGGTTCCCTGTTTGCACTTTCTTTCACAGTGATTCGGCCTTCCAAATTCTTGTTGAGTGCCCCCCCCCCCAAAAAAAATTGCAGAGTCACTTAGTTCTAGAGTAAGGGCAGAAGTTGGCCTTTCCACTCCAAGGGACACCTCGACCTGCCAGCACTCAGCCCCTCCACCAGGTCCCCCCTTGCGGGGTGCCCTTGACAGGCAGGCAACTAAGGGCCAGGTGCTTTTAGCAGGGTGTCCTCTGACGCCCACACGTGTGAGGACGGATAGGGGTTCACTCACTCGCCAGTGGGTTGGCCCACCAGCTACTGAGGTGTGGGCAGGGCTCCAGCCTTGATCTGCTGCAGCCACCCCACGTGACTTTGGAGGTGTCAGGCGACCCCCAGGGACATCCAGCATCAAATCCCAGCATGTCAGGGTCAAGGAGCAGGAGCAGGGGACATTGTTACAGCTGGCAGTTTAACATATCTGTGGAGTACACGAAAACAGTTGCGTTAATTGTGGTAAGTCCTGTTTCCGTGTTTGGGGATAGTAAAAAAGGACAGATTTTTCCTCAACACCAAAAGCAAGAGCAAAGAAAGCCCTCGTGCCCCTGGGGGAGAGTCCTGCTTGGTCCTGTAACCCAATACCTGCTCACTGGCAAGGGACAGGCTTTGGGTTTTTTCCCTCCAGCTCTGTGTATCTAAGCCATGGAACTTCCTTGTGGTTTCAGGGCTTTTGGGAATTTGTGACTGGGGGAGTGGGCTCATGGCTTTGGGCTCTGCCTTAGGTTCAGCCCTCACCCCACTACTCTGGTGTGCTGGGACAGGCTCCTAACCGTCGAAGCCTCGGTTTCCATACCTGAGAAATGGAGAGACTTAACACCCACCTGTTGGGGTGGTTTGGAGATTGATTAATCCACATGGGGGATTGTTGCAGAGCCCGGCACAGAGGGAGCACTTGCTCAGTGGGGCTGATGTTACCTGTGGGAGCCCAGCGAGTGCTTATATGCTCTGCTGGAGAGGGCTGGGTGGCTGTGCTGCCGGACCTGCTCCGGGGGGACCTTGAAGTGTGTCCTGGCTTTAGGGTAGCAGGGCAGGTGGGGCCACTTCAGTCCCATCCCCAGCAGTCTTGGACCTCATCTTGAGCAGGGTCCCGCCCCCTGGGCCCCTGGCAGCTTGTCCCCTTGTCTGGCAGCATGTCATGGACATGGCTTCATTGGAATTACACTGTATTTGGGGCTAAAGTTGGGGGCTGTTCTCTAGGATGTTAGGGGTGTGGATAGGGCAGGAGAGGACTGAATCATCAGGGAGGGACCTCCACCTTAGCCAGGGTCAGGTGGCCTCACACCCTTGAGGTTCTGTGCAGTGTGCAGGTGGACTTGTGTTCTGAGTGGCGGGCTGCCCAGCGAGGTGGGAGGAGCTAGGGACCTGGCCCGGGGTCCGGGTTGGTTCACACTAGCCTCCTGTGGATGTGAGTGGGGGCTGCTGGCAGCTTCCAGAGACCCAACCCTCAGAGCCTGGCTTGGGGACGGGCCAGCACTGGGCCTGGGCTTCAGCAGCTTTAGGCCTGGGGCAGAGTGGTGAAGAATCATTGCTCTGGATCTCCAGACCTTCATTCCAGCTATGGGCCCTGGTCTCTGACAGTTGTGTGGTCCTAGACAAATGGCTCTTAACCTCCCTGTGCTGGGGCCATAGTGCATCTGGGTGCAAGTGGGGCAGCCTTGGCCGCTGGGGCTCAGAAGGAGCACCCCCTTCAGCTCTTCCCCTCTGTCTCCCTTGTAGGCTCCATGCACGGTTCTACGAGCTGGCTCCCAACCTCGTCCCGATGGACTACCGGAAGAGCCCCATCGTCCACGTGCCCATGAGCCTCATCATCCAGATGCCGGAGCTCCGGGTACGAGAGAGGTCAGGGCTGCTGGGCAGGTGGGCTGGGGGTACAACAGAGGCCCCCAGACCTGGGTTGAGGCCGGATCTACCCTTTGTGGCTGTGTGGGCCCAAAAGGGTCACTGAACTGTTTCAGGAAACAGGAAAAGGGTCCTCTGTACCTGTTTCCTCCCCTGTGCTCTAAACACAGGAGTTCCATATATGGGGCCATAGGGTGCCATGCTCACTGCTGCCCCCTTGTGAGATGGCCAGTTGGCTCCATGTGGCAGGACTTGTGTCTGTTTTTTTTTCCCTTAAGTTTTTATGTATTTACTTAAGAGGGAGAGGTGGAAGCCAACAAGGTGCACAGAGCCCTGTAGGACTCGGCCTGAGATCATGGATCACGGACAGGGCCAAGACCAAGAGTCCCATACTCCACCGACTGAGCCCCCAGGCGCCCCCTTGCGTCTGCTTTTTTGGATAATTCTGTGTCCTCTTCTGGCTTTGGCCTCTCACAGCAGGTCATCCGCACCCTCCCTTCTCAGCCCAGAATACACACAGGCACATGGGGTCAGCAAGTGTGGGTGGTGTGGGCCGAGATTCTGTTTTCCAGCAAGCTCCCAGGCAACGCCGATCCTGCTGGACCTCTGACCACACATGTATCTGACACAAAAGTTTCATTTTGTGTGTTTTTTGGTGGTCAAGTGCTTTCCGGCAGTAGGGGAGGTTGGCAATGGGGGCAGGACTCTACACTGCTGTGGGACTTTGCCACTAGCCCCTTGCTAGGCCTTGGATGTGTGACTCTGGGGTCACAGCACCATGTGGCATCCTCTCTGGCCTGTGTCCTGGCCCTGACCTCAGTCCCAAGGGACAGTGAGGCCCAGGCTTGCCCCTGGGCAGGTGTCCAGTCTGCCTAGAGAAGCCTGCGCCCTGGCTCAGAGGATCACTGCAGGGGCAGGGGCACTGGCAGTAGCCACGCAGGCACAGAGTGGGAGTGGCCAAGCCCAGTTGGGGTGGGGGACTCTAAAGAAGAGCCCCGAGAGACCTGGGATCAGAGGGAGGATCCCTGGGGCTAGAGGCCCTGAGCAGTCTGGTGATGGCCCGGGTTCTGACTGCCCCTCCGAGTCCTGTTGCTTATCCCGGCCCTTTCTCCGAGCCTCAGGGGCCCCACCTCTGCCTCCCGTGACCCTGTCCCCTGCCTGTGCCCTGGGCCGCCTCTTCTCTTCCACGTCGAGGCAGGCACCCCTGTGAACCCCTCTGAGCAGTGGTGGGGGGTGCCCCTGCTTGACATGAGGCAGTGCCTGCTGTGAGTGTACCTCAGCCTGGCTTTGCACCCCCACCTGTCATACTTTATCCAGCCCCTTGCATACCAGCTCAGCAGGCCCATTTGTCATCCCCACTTTGCAGATGGGGATGTGGGGGCTCAGAGGGGTTAGGTCACTTGTCCAAGGCCACACACATCATTGCTGTCTTTCCTGAGTCCGCTCAGTCCCCATGTACCCATGTGATGCTGGTTGTTTCCTGCAGGAGAACCCCTTCAAGGAAAGGATCGTAGAGGCTTTTTCTGAGGATGGCGAGGGGAACCTTACCTTCAATGACTTTGTGGACATGTTCTCCGTGCTGTGTGAGTCAGCACCCCGAGAGCTCAAGGCAAACTATGCCTTCAAGATCTACGGTATGGGCCTAGAGGACTGCATACCTGCGGGTGGCAGCATGTAGGGGTGCAGGGGCCTGGGAGCAAGGGGGGCCACGTGGACACCACAGGTAGGGGCAGGTGTGCCCAGTGGATGGAACAGTAGGGAGGTGCCAGGTTTCATGAGGAGGTCACAGGACAGGCTGTGAGGAGCCAGCTAGGGAACGTGGACCAGGTGCCGGGGCTCCAGGGCGCCACAGGATTGCAGGTGGGCAGTTCTGGATTCTGAGGTGTGAGCCAGAGGTAGGGGGCTGGGGAGGGGCCTCTGCCAGGCAGCAGGCTCCCAGCGCCACGGTCATGCTGACCACCAGAGGGCACTGGGCTCCAGAGGATGGACCTTCATGGACTGCCTACCTTCCTGAGGTGGAGTTCCAGGGAGGGCTGGGTCCCTGCTAGCAGAGGAGCCCCGACAAGCCTGTCCCAGCACCTGTGGCCACCCTGTGGCTCCGGAGCCTCTCATGCTTTCTCCTCTTGTAGCCACTGTGCCCACATCAGAGGCCTGGTCTGGGTGCACGCAGCACTGCCGTATGTGTGCGCATCAGTGGGTCCACCCTCCACATCTCACATGGGGCATTACTCACAGGGCAGGCTGTCGTCTGCCAGTGAACGATGGGAGTACAGCTGGGTGGGGAGGGGGCAGGGACGGCAGCACCGAGGCTCACTGCTGCCCCAGCTGCGGGACAGCAGGAAAGGCACCCGGGGGACAGGGCTTGGTGTTGGGGCCTGACTTCCAGCAAAGGTCACGCCCTCCCTGGGCCTTGGCTTCACCACAGCAAAGGGGCACAGGAGTCCAGCCAGCCAGCACATCCCCACAGAGCTTCCCGGGAGCCCCCAGGGGGGTGGAGGTGACTCTTACCCATGCCGACCCCAGAGGCACTCATGGGCCAATGTGGAGGTACCTGTCAAGGGGCTGGGCTTTGGGCCCTGGTCCTGACCAGGGATGTCCCTTCAGATCACATGCCCCTTGCAGGACCTGTTTCTTCATCTGTGTATGATAGGGACTCTCCCTGGACCTACCACTCAGCTTGTGTAGGCGGGGCCATGAGGCAGAGCGTGTGACATGCCTGCTAGTGGGGACGCTCTTCATCACTGCCCTTTTCGTCAGGGTGTGGCTAGTGGCAGAGGCCCAGGAGTGGGGAGCCCTAAGGCTTAGAAAGCCCCCCGGGGGTGCCAATGGGAATTTGCTGGATAGACAAGTGGGAGGGGCACTCTGGGCAGAGGAGGGGGCCAAGATCCAGAAGCTGAGCTGAAAATGAGGGGAGGGTGTAGTCACTGCTGCAAGCTACTGCTGCAAGCCGTGCGGCTGTGCTTTGGGCAGTGGTGGTGCCTTCTGCCAGATGTGCCCAGGGGCCAGCCTGGGCCTCCCTCCAAGGGGCTTCTGAGTCTTCTGACCACGACCAGCCTGCTGGGGGGCCTGCGGGAGGCCCTGTGGTGCAGTGTAAAGAACGTGTTTGGGCAGGGGTGCTTAGCGGCAACAGGCCCAGGCAGTATCCTGCCTCCCCCTCCAAGCAGCTCTCTGAGCTTGATTTAGTCACTGGCCTTCCTGGGCCTTGCTTCCCTCTGCTCCTGAGGGCACACGGGTCGTACTGCAGGTGTGGCAGGAGGCCTGGTGACCCAAGCCTCAGACTTGGACTTGCAAGCATCTCAGGCTAGGTTCATACCTGCAGCCATGGCAGAGGTGTCATGGGGTCATGAGTGTTGGCCTGTGGGTTGTGGTAGTCAGCCGGGGCCTGGGCACATGGGGTGGCATGTTGGGGGCCCGGCCTGAGCACCCCCACCTACCTGCCCGCAGACTTCAACACAGACAACTTCATCTGCAAGGAGGACTTGGAGCGCACGCTGGCACGGCTCACTAAGTCGGAGCTAGATGAGGATGAGGTGGTGCTTGTGTGTGACAAGGTCATTGAGGAGGCGGACCTGGATGGGGACGGCAAGCTGGGCTTCGCGGACTTTGAGGACATGATCGCCAAGGCCCCTGACTTCCTCAGGTGCGGCCCCTGGGGACGACTGGCCCCCCCGCTTGGAGTTAGTCAGCCGTGTCCTCCTAAGGGACCGGTCGACACTGGGCTGGGGTTCAGTGAGCTTTCTGCTGAGGGCCCTTCCTCTCTTTCCAGCACCTTCCACATCCGGATCTGAGGACACCACCAGGGCATGAGGGCCCCAAAGCCGACCGCCTGGCTCTGTTGTCTACGCAAGTGTGACCTCCATGCTGCCCAGAAAGAGGCTGCAGCCTCTGGGGTTGTACCCACCAACATTTCCTTGGCCCTTTGAGCAAAAAATCCTTAACCAGGGAAGGGGGATGTGGGGAGCAGGGCCCCTCCCAGGCCCTCCATCTGTGCCCCTGAGCCCCCAGACCCCGGTCCTCTCCCTGTCAGGAAGGGCCCCACTGGGAGGAAAGGCAGAGACATTATGGGGCAGGGGACACAGACGTGTCCCGAGTGCTGGGCAGGCGTCCCGGGTTGCCCAGGGCAAAGTGAAAAGGGAAAGAGGACAAGATTTTATGAGCTATGCAGTCTTCCAAAACCCACAGCTGGGCTGCACCCCAACCCCCCCAATGTGAAGCTGGGAGGATGGTGGGCCCAGGGCTCTGCTCTGTCCCTGTCCCTGGCTCTGAGCCCTGGGCACCCCACCCCCTGCTCTCCTGAGATGTGGAATTTTCACTGGTGCGTCCTACCCACACATGTGAATTCCCAGTAGTAAAGCACTTTGATGTCCCCATGGTCTGCCTGCTGACACTAGGATACACTCAAAGGTCCCTTTCTCCTTGAAATCCCACCACTAGTTAGTCCCCTCGGGGTCAAGCATCACCTTCCTGCTTTGGGCAGTAACGTTTATTTCAATGCTTGTACTTTGGAGAGGGAGACACATCGGTGCCCCAGGTCTCTGGGTGAGCCCCACAGGGGACGTTAGGTGAGAATTCACAGAGCACTAACCATATGTCAGACACAAGGCCACCTGCCATGCTGTCCATCCTACACACCCTAGGTGGTGGGGGCTCTCATGTCCCCGATCTTTGGGGTGTGAGGCTGCTGAGGGGAGATTCTCCCCCAGGTGTGAACCAGGCCCAGCACCGTTGAGGGACACAGGCAGGAACGGTGTGGGCTGTAGCACTCTCTCTGGGGAAGGTCCATCTGTTTTCCACCTCTGCTGCCCAGGGGCCGTGGGCGGGGAGCAGCAGACCACCCTGACACATGTGGGGACATGCAGGTGAGGGGCAGTGGGACAAAGCAGGAAGGACCCTGGGGGAGGGGGACCCAGGGGGAGCGGGACACCAGATTGCCTATGTCCAGAGCTGCTGTGTGGGCAGGGCCGCTTGCCTGGGTGTGGGCCTGGTGGGAGGGCCCTGAGAGCTGCCCTGGGGGCCGGGACTGGAAGGCAGAGGGTAGGTGAAGGCAACCTGGTCACAGGGGTGGGCAGCACATGCTGGCTGGCTCTCCAGCAACACCCAGGAACGCGTCCTAGTGGACCCCAGGCAGCCAGGCTCTGACTGAGACCTCAGGCAGCTTGCTGCTCCTATGTGGGCGTCAGTTTCCCCATCTGCAGCACAGACCGGTTGGAGACAGGCCAAGGGGCTGCTCCTGAGAGCCCAGCACCTGCAGGCTACAACTGTTGCCTCAGGCAGGGGCTCCTCTACTATTCCCGGGCCTGTGGCTCTGGGCCCTGTGCCCCTTACAGCTGGGAGGGTCACCAGGAGGGGGGTACTGGCTCTGCTGGCCCACTGAAGAGGGCCTGCCCTGGACCACCTGGGGGGTGGGGATGCCGACCCTGCCTATGATCAGTTCTCCACCTCTCAGACCAGGACACCCTTCCCCTGGGAGAGTGAGGGACGCTAGGGAAGCAGGGGTGCTTTCCAGAGCCTCAGGGCTTCCCAGTCACTCCTGGCATAGCTGGGCCCCAGGAAGCCAGGTGCTCAGGATTTATGCTTCTTGTCCGTGAAGAAGATCCTCCGGAGCTTGTCAGGCTGCAAAGATGGAGAATTTGCTGGAGCCGGGGGTCCCCGGACAGAGGGGTCCAGCACTGACTGGGGGCTGAGGCCCATGGTCAGCTCGGAGGACTGGTGCTGGTTCTGCTAGCCTCACGGTGCCAAATTCCACCTCCAGCCCCAGTTCTGAGTGAAAGCTAAGGGGTGGAGGGGCCAGGGGTCCCCTAATTCCTAGCACTCTCTGGTGCAGCAGGGCCGCCACCAGGGACCAGAGAGGATGTGAGACTGCAGTGGGGGAAGAGCTGCCATGGATGTGGCTTCAGGGCTTCCTGGAGGGTCTGCCTATGGGGTGGCCTGTGGTCCCAGGACAGCAGGCCCTCCGAGGCTGCTCTAGTCCAGGAGGTGTCAGAACCTGGGTCCACGTGTGCCTGGGATTGAGGCTGTCCCCACTGAGCGTGGACCCTCCCTGGCTTGGACTGCAGGCAGAGTGCTGGGGCTGACAGGGCCTGGGCCCCATGGGAGCCCCTGACCACCTCCCTCTGACCTCCTGGCCGCCCTTTCCCTGTCCTGCCCTCTGACTACTCTGTCCAGTCGGCTCTGGGCTGTGTCCTGAGCACGTGAGCACATCTAGCCTTGGGGCAGACCTCTCTGAACACAAGCGGAGACCAGACCATGGTTCAGATGAAGAAATGGAGGCGCCAGGTCAGGTGGCTAAATAGTATGGGAGGCCCTGTGATGGTAGAGTTTTAGATGAACAAAGAGCAATTGTGGTATTTGGGACACACTCTCGCTAGGAGTTGTTGCTGGGGAAAGTGCTTTACCCAAAGCCACATGGCTGGGGGGTGGCTGAGCCATGACAAGAAGGAATGTAGGTCAGGCTGGAGCCAGGGCCCCCTGTACACCTTGTACAGGCCCTGAGACCCTGGGGTGTGGGGGTTGGCAGGGGAAACTGCTCTGCAGAGAGCCCCCCTTTGTTCCCACTGAGCAACTGCCTCTCCCACTACCTCTGAGTACATGTGACCCCTGGAAAAGCCTGGGCCCCTGGGGGCAGTAGTAGTGACCTGAGCTGCTCATGCATGAGGGCCATGACCTCTCTGACCCGTGGGGCCTGGCAGCCACCCCATCCCACCATATAGCCTACCTTGTGTGCCTGTCCGGTGCTCCTGGTTGCTGGAATTTGTTCGTAGGTGTTCCTGGGCTCGGGGAGCTCCGGGGCCCCCGAGAACCTGGCATAGCCATAGTCTGAGGATCCTGGCCGCCAGCTGGATGGGGGGCTGGGCCTGGAACACGGAGGCCTGACTGGGCTGCCCCAGTAGGCTGGGACCTGAGCGTAGGCACTGCCTTCCTGTTCTGGCGCCTCCCTGGGCTCTGGTGGGTCTGCTGTCTGCAGGAGCTTGTATGTTTCTGTACAAGTGCCTGGGGAACAGGGCTGTGCTCTGTGGCTCAGCTTTGGGGACGCCTGGCTCCAGGAGGCAGCCGAGCATCCCGGGGCCAGGAGGTGGGCCCGGGATGCAGGAGGCACCGGTCGACCATGGTCTGTGCCAACCCCAGTGAGGGCAGGCTCTGGGCCATTAGGCCTGTTCTGGCTTCCCACTGAGTGTCTCCTCAGGGGCTCCTCGCCTGGGGAGCAAGCCCGGCTGCCAGCTGGAACCGTCCCAGGCTTGCTGGACCCCTCTGCGCCCAGGCCCAGCCGTGCCTGGTTCATCTTCCTCAGCTCTGAGTAGATGGTGCTGCCAGGGCTCCCAAAAGACTCTTCCAGAAGGGAGGCACTCCTCTCGGGGAGGGGAGGCACCCTGGCGCAGAGCTGGGGAGGGAAAGAACCTCTGGAGCAACACCCTTGGGGACACGGATGCTTCCCGACAAGCCTTGTCCCCTGTCCTGGCTCGGCTTACCTGACTGTCGTGGGTGGGCATTGGCTGACGCTCAGAAGCCCCTGAGCCCACCCTTCGGAGGAGACCACCCCCCAGGCTGTCATTTGTAAATGATTCCACAAATGTCTGCTGGGCACCAGCTGGGGCCAGACTCTGTCCCAGGTGGTAAGGACTCCATGGGCAGCACAGCCAATGCTGGAAGGCCGCCTTCTAACCGGGGAGGTGGGCAACAGACCAGCCTGTGACATGGTCTAATGTGCCTGACACAACCCATGCTAGACCATCAGGTCGTTAGTCGTGTCATGAAGAAGAGCACAGCAGGGTAATGGGATGAACAGAATGGCAGGTGGGAAGGGGCCTTTCCTACAGCCCTGGTGCCCTTCCTGGAGAGATGACATGCAAGTGGACCTAGTGCGCCAGCAGCTTTCTGGTAGGAAGAGCATTGCAGCAAAGACCTAGCAAGTGCAAAGGCCCTGGGGTAGGAGCAAGGTTGGTGTGTTCTGAGAAGATCAAAAGGCTGGTGAGGCTGGAGAAGAGAGCAGAGAGGAGGCAGCAGGGCCCCGGGTGAGGGCCCCATGAGGCCTCAGGGTGAGGAGAGACCTGAGGTGTGCTGTGATCTGTTGTATAGGAGGAAAATTTGTGGAGGGAAAGTACCCTCTCACAGCACCCCCCCCCCACACTCACACAGTGTACACGAATTTCAGGCATCTCTTACCCATTTTCTTATTCAAGTGCAGAGGAACCGTAGGAGTGGTAAACTGAGGCACAGCCTGGAAGGCCAGCCTGTGGGCCGGACCTGTGGGCGTTAGTGCAGCCCCACCCAGAGCGCTGAGGACCCTGCTCACCTCCACACATCCCTCCTCGGAGAAGCTACAGGGAGTGGCCTCCAGGCTCTTCCTGGTGTGGACGAAGGGGGCTGGGGGCTGGGGGCGGGTGGCGTCTGCGCCCACTGTGGGGGCTGCTGCGGCAGGTGGCTTTTCCAGGCCCAGGCTGGTGTGGTGGAGACCCAGGGTGATGGCATCATAGGGATCGTTGTCCTCTGGCTGCAGGTAGTGGGGGCACAGTAGGGGCATGGTCATGCATCCCCAGCTGGTGAGGGACCCACACCAGCCCACCGAGCCCCTGACCTCAGGTAAGGTGCTGCCTCGGTCTCCCCCTTTTAAATACTGTGACCACGAGGTCATGGGCCTGAGCGGGGGGACAACCTAGGCCTGGACACCCCACCCTGTCCCCCCTCGCCACGCCGCAGCAGAGGGGTGCCTACCCTGGGGCAGGCAGCAGACAGGGTCTCCCCAAAGGGCTCAAAGTGCACCTCCTGGTAGTGGTGCACCAGCTCAGCCAGGGTGTTGTGGCTGCAGGTGTCCCCCGAGACGAGGTAGCGCCGGTCCTGGAGCTGGTTGATGACGAAATGCCGACAGCGGTCACTGCCCCTACGACACAAGTGCGCGTACCCTGGGTCCTGGGTGCAGGACGAGGCTCAGGGGACGCTGACCGTCTGTGGGGGCTCCACATTGGAGGTTGGGGGCCTGGCCTTCCAGGAGCTCAGCCCCACGGGGGCTGTACAGAGTCCAGAGCACAGGGGTGGCCTCCAAATCCCAGGTCCCTGGGGTCCCCGCCCTGCCCCTGTGAGGCCAGGAGCACCCAGCTGGGCACGAGACCTAAGGCCCTACAGACTGAGCAAACATCCAACAAGGCGGTGTGTAGAAAATCAAATTCAATGCCGAGGAATCCACGGTGAACAAAACACCACATCTTCACCCAAAACAGGTCCAACCCTGCACGAGCATCACTCCTCCCCCTAAACCCCATCCCTGCAAGAGATATAGACTTCAGGCTCCACTGCATGCAGCCCTAAACCCCTACCATCTCTCCCCCTCACTCCACCCTCACTCCACCCTCACTCCCCCCCTTCTCCCCCTCACTACACCCTCACTCCTACCTCTCCCTCACTACACCCTCGCTACTCCCCCTCACTACCCCTCACTACACCCTCACTACCCTCCCACTTCCCCTCACTACCCCTTCACTATCTCCTTCTCCTCCCCCTCACTACTCCCTCACTTCCGCTCACTACACCCTCACTGCCCCCTTCTCCCCCTCACTACCCCTCATTCCCCCACTTCCCCTCACTACCCCCTCACTACTCCCTCACTACCCCTCACTTGCCCTCACTCCCACCTCCTCACACTCACTTCCCCTCACTCCGGCCTCACTCCCCCTCACTATTCCCTCACTATGCCCTCATTCCCCCTCACTTCCCCTCATTACCCCCTCATTACCCCTTACCCCCCTCACTTCTGCTCACTACCACCTCACCACCCCTTCCTCCCCCTCACTACACCCTCCTCCCCCTCACTTCCCCTCACTACCCCCGCCCTCCCTCACCACCCCCTCACTCCCCCTTACTACCCCCTCACTACCCCCCTCACTCCCACCTCCTCCCCCTCACTCCCCCCACTCCCCCTCACTACACCCTCCTCCCCCTCAGATCCCCTCACTATTCCTCACTACATCCTCCTCTCCCTCACTACCCCCTCACTCCCACCTCCTCCCCCTCACTCCTGCCTCCTCCCCCTCACTCCTCTCACTACCCCCTCACTATCCCCTCACTACTCCTTCACTATCCCCTCACTACGCCCTCCTCCCGGTCGGTCCCTCCTTTAAGGATCAGTAACCCCACAGTGACCAGTGTCATGAGGGTGTGGAGGGTGACTCTGCAAGTGCACAGTCCTATGGATCCTGCCCCCAGAGCAAAACAGAAAACATTTCCAACTCCTGCCCCTTCTGCCTATGGAACTTCGCAGAAAGAAATCCCAGGGTCTTTCTTTTTTGTGTCTGGCATCTTTCACTCAACATCATATCTCTAAGATTGATTCACGTCCAGGGACATTTAGCTCCATAGCCCCCTGTGTAAAATTCCATTTAATGAAAAAAATCCACCATTTGCCCCTTCCGTTGGTGGACGTTTCGGGCTTTCCAGATTTGCTAGAAACAAAGCTGCCCTGGATATTCTGTTCATGTGCTCACTGATGTTGAGAATGTGCCAGGGTGTCGCCTTGGTGGGCGGGGACAGGCCTCTGTGGAGCTCCTAGGTTCTGGCAAATCCTTTCCTGAAACCATTGCTATGCAGGAGAGTTCCAGCTGCCGCACATCCTCACCAACTACTGTGTTCTGTCTTCCCATTTCAGCCACTCATTGCAGGTTCCATTTGTATTTTCCCGATTATAATGCTGCCGAACCGTACATACTATCGCCCTTTGGACGACCCCTTTTATGAAGTACCCATTCAAGTCTACCCATGTTATTTACCATGTTGTCTTATTGATTCGTGGGAGCTTTTCGTATATCCTGGCAAGAGTCCTTTGTTCAATACATTATTACAGGGCAGCCTGGGTGGCTCAGCGGTTTAGCGCCGCCTTCAGCCCAGGGCCTGATCCTGGAGACCCAGGATGGAGTCCCATGTCAGGCTCCCTGCATGGTGCCTGCTTCTCCCTCTGCCTATGTCTCTGCCTCTCTCTCTCTCTCTCTCTCTCTGTCTCTCATGAATAAATAAATAAAATCTTTAAAAAAATACATTATTACAATGTGTAACTTCTCCCAATACTCTGTCCTTTTAGTGACTTCATGGTGTCTTCTGATTAACAAAAAGTCTTAATTTTAAAGAAATCAAATTTATCAACCTTCTCTTTTATGGTTAATAGGTTTGTGTCTTAAGAAATCTTTGCCTTTCTCAAAGTCTTGACAATTCTTCCTGTTTTCTTTTAGAAATATATGGCTTTTGTCACTCGGGTCTATGGTCCCTTGTTTTCTACTTGGGTATCCGATTGCTCCCACCCGCTTACTGGAAAGCCCTGCGTTTTCCCCAGAACTGCTGTAAATCCGGGGACCCAATGCTGGGGCTCCGCAGATCCATGTCCCTGTCACGTATGTCAGAGAAATGTGATAAGTTGGTATTCCATCCACGGTCATGTTTGACAAAAGAGCCCTGATGCTAAAAAGCCATTTGAAAGCTTCTGGGTTCATCTCTTTCAAAGTGTGTAGCCGAGCAGCTGGCACATGGAATATAATTACTGTTTTCACAGTGATTGACGTTTATTCGGTTCTCACGATGTTCCAGCCACTGACTGTGCTGAGCACCTCTTGACCGATGAACCCACTGAACCCCCTCAGCAACCCTACAAAGTCAGTTCTACAGTGTCCCTATCCTACAGAGGAGGAAATGGAGCCAGACAGGTTCCAGGTTAGGATTCGGCCTGGGGCCTCCGAGGTTTGCCCTGGAGCTCTAGCAGTCCTTCCTGACCCTGACCCTGACCCTCTGACCCTGACGGGGAGGGGGCTTCCCCCTTCATCCTCTCCAGACTGGGCTTGATGTCATCCTCTTGGCTTCATCCTGACCATCTTGCCCCCCTCCTGGACCGGAGCTCATCATTTCAGGGGCCCCATGGGCCCTGCATGTCCAGCCTCCTCCCACAGCCTGCCGGAAGAACCCTGGAGAAGCCATTGGCGATCTGCACAGTCGCCTGGCTTCCTCCTCCGCAGGCACTCCTTCCTGGGAACTTCCCTCGCGGCTCCCTCAGCGCCTCTGTCTCAGTACCTCTGGACCTTTGCACATTCTGTCCCATCCAGTGGAGAGGCCCTCCTGAACTCCCATCACACCCTCTCTTCTGCCCTGGGCTCAAGGTTAATTCTGGGAAGCCGGTGAGGGGGACTGTCTCTTGCCCCTCCTCCCACCCATTCCCACTGAGGGCTGTGGCTGTGTCTGCAGAACACATGATGGATGGAGCAGGGTGGGGGAGCCAGCGGCCCAGCGAGAGCCAGGCAGTGTGGCCCACAGGGGGGTGGGGGGCACCTGTCCTATCTGCAAAGCAAGCTTCTCTCCTACCTGTAGGACAAGATGTAGCTGGTGGCCCGGTCACTGAGGCGGATGAGGAAGGAGCCGAGAGCTTTGTCTCCGAGCAGCTGCTCTGTCTGCCTGGGCAGAGGGCATGCAGTTAACTGGGGCCCGTGCCTGTCTGGCAGCAGGAGCAGGCCGACTTGGACCTGCCTCAGAATCCCTCCTGGCCATGCCCTTGGGTGCCAGATGCAGTGCACAGATAGCCAGCCCTCTCCACGGTAGGGGTTGGAGACTCTCCCAGACCTCGGGCTGCCACTGTGGCCTGTCCAGACTCAGGCTTGGGCTGGGTCGGAGTCCTGAGGCCCCACGTGCACCCCCACACTGCAGCCTCACCTCAGGCACAATAGCCACTGACCCTGGCCACCCACCAAGAACGAATCCATAGAGCCAGAAAGGTTTAGGTTTGGCAGGTCCTGGCCTCAGGGCCACCATGTACAGTTGTGCAGGTTTCTATAGGGAGGAGGTGCTGTGTTGTCTGGACCCTGATCCCAACAGGCTCTCATGTCCCCTGTGTGTCCCTTCCAGCCGGGCAGCCTGGATATTTTTGAACAGTGCCAAGTATTTTGGCGACATGGTGAGAAGTTCCAGCTTCCTTTGGTTTGGCAGCATGTTGGCCCCAACTGAGTGCATGCTCTCTGTAAGGCCAGCTGTGGATTTTGCACAGCCTGCGACTAAATGAAAGCGCTGAGCTCAACAGGTAAGAATTTGACGATGGGGACAGCAGGGCAATAAGCTAAGTGCTGGACCCCAAGCTGCCCCTGTAGACAACTGGTGCCTGGTGCCGGGCAGGGAGGGCCAGGCTGCATCTGCTGTCCCTCGTCTCATGCTCAGGCAGCTCTGGCATCTGCTAATCCAAGAGCCACCCTTTCCTGGGGGGCAGTGCACATCCAGGTTTCCCCAAGGTGGTCCCCACCCAAGATAGCTCTCAGCTCCCTGTGAATGGTGTGCGACTGGACAATGACCCGAAGGCCCTGCCATGTCTGAGTGCACCTGCTCTCTCTCTTCTCTAGGCCAGGACTCCCAGAGTGGCCACTGCACTCACCCAGCTGCCCAGAGACCACAGGCTCCTCACCCCATCCCGGGCCTCACCCAGGGAGGCGGCAGGAGCCAGCCTCATCCCAGGGTCCCCAGACCACTTTCTCCATGCCAAGGGGTAGCCTTACTTGCGGGTAAGGAATCCGTGGAACCAGGGGGGCAGGGCTCCGTCCTGCAGAATGAGGGGCGCCTGTGTCTCCATGAACCAGGTCAGGGCCAATTCCTGCAGCTTGGCCAAGGCCTGGCTGTCCCCCGACTCTCCGGGCCCCCTCCCAGGGCCAAGCTGCTTCGGACTGCCCTCCATCCTGGCCAGCATGGAGCGGAAGCAGAGCGCAGACCACACACACACACACACATACACACACACACACGCCTCTATATTTGTGGGCACCCCGCTCATTTGCCTGAATCAGTGCCCGCCCCAACCGCCCCAGCACACAGGAGCCCAATTGTCACCCTGGCTGGTGGCTAGTTCTCCTTCCTGACTCTGGGGTGGCCATCTTCTCTGGCAGGGGACACTGTGGGGAGGGTCATATTAGCAGGGGTGGGGCTGGCTAGGGGAGGAGACTATGGACTGCATGGCCCCGTTCCCCCAACCTCTAGCCTCCGCCTTCAGTTGAAGGCCAGGCCTGGCCGAGGCCCTCAGCCCAGCTTCATGAGCAAAGCAGTAGCTTTCAATTCTATTCATCCTTCCCTAGTGGAGGCCACTTGTATTTTGGTGAAGTTCACTGATTAACTTCCTTCCGCTGAAGATTTACTGAGTGTCTACTGGGCTGTGGGAATAAAGTCGTGCACAAAATAGCATTTTGCCCTCATGGCTCCAGCATAAGGAGACAGACAATCGTCGAGTCCATGTACAGAATATGGTGCCAAGTATCATGTGCACCCCAATAAAGGAAGGGAAGAGGACGCGGCTTACCTCCTTTAGATGGAGGTTGGTCAGGGGTTGAGCAGAGAGGAGCAGCTAGTGTGGACGGGTGGTCTGGAAGGGCCAGGCAGAGGCCTTTGAAGGAGGCCTTGGACCAACTAGGGTATCTGTTCATCCCTAAATGCATCCTGCGCTTCTGAGTTCCACGGCAGAAACCCAGCCAGGGGGATCCCAGGGCAGTAGGCATTGTAAAGTGTGGGCCCTGGGGACAGGATCAGGTCAGAGTCCTGCTTTCACGGGACCTCAGAAGGTCCACTTCCTTGTCTACAAAATGGGAAAGGGCAGAAGCAGTCAGGGTGCCTGGGCTGAGTGAGAGTGCCTGGTGGCTAAGGTGAGAGCACACATCCACTTCCATCACTGGACAGCACCCCACAACGGCGGCGCTTGGTGGAAGCGAGGACAGCGGGTGCCTGCGACATCCTGTTCCTTGGTCTGGGGGAGAGACATGTGCTCACTTTGAAATCTCCCTGTGCTCTGCGCTCACGATTTAGGTAGACACTGCTGTGTTTATAGTGGCTTCACAAGACAGCTCCCCGGTGGATGGGTGGAGGCTGCAGCCCTATGTCCTTGGCTCCAATCCTGGCTGGCTAGCTATGTGACCTTGAGGAGGGACTTCACGTCCTTACCTCCACAACAGGAAGAGCCCTCCAATGTCTGGGCAGGCTAAGGAGTTGGGGCCTGAGGACAGTGCTCCGCATACCGTGAGTGATGGGGATTCGCCATATGTTGACTGTGACTGTGATGTAACGGCTCTGACCCGGTGGATCCTTCCCTGTGGGTAAGGATGTACATGATTATACTATTGCTACAGCCCCACCGTGGTCATCCCAAGCAAGATGGAAATGCCTGCGGCAGCTGTGGGATGCATGTGATGGAGAGGACAGGCATGTTGTGAGGCAAGCCCGTGACCCCAGTCCTGTCTCTGGGTCTCCTTTTCCACATTCATACAAAAGGTAACAGACACTCACCTCGCTTCCCAGGGAAAGAGAGAAACAGCACTGGCAGGCTCTCTGCATGGGGACAGGTGTGCTGGGGCCAGGAAGTGTTCCAGACATGCAGCTGTTTGAACATCACCATTATAAACAGTTAATTTCCAGCCTTGATGGCAAGGAGCCAGTTCTAGCCGGGGCCCCTGGGGGTGGGGATGGGGTGCATGGTTTTCCTGCCACGGATCTAAACCTGGAATATACTGGGCTCAGAACAGAAATCCCACTACGTTTGCACACTCATAGTTATCCTGCTAGTGTGCACGGATTTGCTCCCCAACACGAGGGCGTAGAGAATGAATGAGCCAATTTCTTGTTTCTTAAATTGTCTGTGTTATCATCTACTCCATCCTGCACCTAGAGCAGTGCGTGGTACAGTTAGATGTTTGATGGGCATATTTCATTTTCTTGGTTGATTGATTTAGGTTTTATTTAAATTCAAGTTAACATACAGTGTACTATTAGTTTCAGGGCTGGAATTTTTTTTTATAAATTAATTTTTATTGGTGTTCAATTTACCAACATACAGAATAACACCCAGTGCTCATCCCGTCAAGTGTCCCCCTCCGTGCCCGTCACCCATTCACCCCCACCCCCCGCCCTCCTCCCCTTCCACCACCCCTAGTTCGTTTCCCAGAGTTAGGAGTCTTTATGTTTTGTGTCCCTTTCTGATATCTCCCACACATTTCTTCTCCCTTCCCTTATATTCCCCTTCACTATTATTCATAGTCCCCAAATGAATGAGAACATACACTGTTTGTCCTTCTCCGATTGACTTACTTCACTCAGCATAATACCCTCCAGTTCCATCCACGTTGAAGCAAATGGTGGGTATTTGTCGTTTCTAATGGCTGAGTAATATTCCATTGTATACATAAACCACATCTTCTTTATCCATTCATCTTTCGATAGGCACCGAGGCTCCTTCCACAGTTTGGCTATTGTGGACATGGCTGCTAGAAACATCGGGGTGCAGGTGTCCCGGCGTTTCATTGCATCTGAATCTTCGGGGTAAATCCCTAACAGTGCAATTGCTGGGTCGTAGGGCAGGTCTATTTTTAATTCTTTGAGGAACCTCCATACAGTTTTCCAGAGTGGCTGCACCAGTTCACATTCCCACCAACAGTGTAAGAGGGTTCCCTTTTCTCCACATCCTCTCCAACATTTGTTGTTTCCTGCCTTATTAATTTTCCCCATTCTCACTGGTGTGAGGTGGTATCTCATTGTGGTTTTGATTTGTATTTCCCTGATGGCAAGTGATGCAGAGCATTTTCTCATGTGCATGTTGGCCATGGCTATGTCTTCCTCTGTGAGATTTCTCTTCATGTCTTTTGTCAGGGCTGGAATTTAGTGATTCATCATCACATCCCCTGTGACTTTGTCACCAATAGAAATCACAGATGTTCTCATGTTGCATCACAGCTTTCGTGGGCATCTTGAGAAAGTGGATTTTTCTCATCATTATGTCAAAGTTATAGTAATTAGACCCAGTGCTGAGTCTTATTTGACACACTAATAAAGTCGCACATCATGTCTTTATTTTTAAAAGATTTTTAAAAAGATTTTATTTATTTATTCATGAGAGACACACACAGAGAGAGAGGCAGAGACACAGGTAGAGGGAGAAGCAGGCTCCATGCAGGAAGCCTGATGTGGGACTGGATCCTGATCCCGGGACTCCAGGATCAGGCTCTGGGCTGAAGGCAATTGCTAAACTGCTGAACCACCCAGGGATCCCCTCATATGTCTTTATTACAGATATTTTGGGTAATTGATTCCCACCAGCATACTATGTATTTTATTATGTGCATTTAAAAACACATTCTGAGAAGTCCATGGGCATCACCAGACACCCAGAGGGCTCCAGGGCTCAAAAGGCTAAGGAAGCTAGAGTCTGACGCAGGGCCCTTTGCTGCCAAAGTCAAGTCCTAGAAGTATTCAAATGCAAAGAAATGTGTTTTTATGATTTTCCATGAGGCATTTTCTCCACCTCCCCTTCCTGGGATACTGTTGTGGGCAGAACCTGGTCATTTGCCTGTGAAGACAAAGGCGTTTTGTGCTGGGGGTGGGGGTGGGGGTGGGGGGTGGAGACGGGGAGTCTGTGTTTGAGCTCTGAGGATGTGGGGGCCCAGGACTGTGGTATCAGGGCTCTGGGAAGGACTAAGGGGTGGGTGGTCTCTGAGGGCATGCACCCTACTGCTCAGTCCCCACTGTGGTCACCCAGGGAGCTGGGCCTGGGCACATGGATGACACTGGCATGACTCTACCCCAGGGTGCCCTGAGGGGCACAGGTTCTGGTATCAGACTGACCCCCTAAGACACCTGGCCCCCATTGCTGGCTCTGCAGGGGGGTTTTGAGGTGGGTCCTAATCTCACCACCTCTCAGTGTGTTTTCATCTATAAGAATGGAGGGGAGAACCTACCTACCTGGCAGGGGTTGGGGGTGCAGAGGCCAGTCCAGGCAGCAGGGTGGCTGGAAGGCACTGGCAAGCTACATCGGCCTCCGCCCAGCTGCCTGGCACCTGAGGGGTCTTCTAAAGCCAAGCGTGTCTGTCTGGTGCTGGGTGTCCCTGCCAAGATCACGCTCCTCCTGTAGGACCCAGACATCCCAATGTGCCGTCCTTTTTGGGGCTCCTGCCTGAGGGCGCCGGGTCTGGCTTCCCCTCCTGGGGACCCCTCCCAGGCCTGTCCAGCTGTCCTGACCAGGCACCTGGCCCCAGGCCCCACTCCTCCTTCCCAGACCCATTCCATGGGGACAGGAGGCCAAGGCAGCCTGTTGCTGCCTGTGGACACTATGTTTGCACACTCATAGTTATCCTGCTAGGGGCACAGATTTGCTCCCCAACATGAGGGCATGGAGAACGAATGAGCTGATTTCTTTCTTTCTTTCTTTTTTTTTTTTAAGATTTTATTTATTTATTCATGAGAGACACTGCGAGAGAGAGGCAGAGACACAGGCAGAGGGAGAAGCAGGCTTCATGCAGGGAGCCTGATGTGGGACTCCATCCCGAGACTCCAGGATCACGCCCTGGGCCGAAGGCAGGAGCTAAACCACTGAGCCACCCAGGCGTCTTGATTTGTTGTTTCTTAAATTGTCCGTATCATCATCTACTCCATCCTGTACCTAGACCAGTGCGTGGCACAGTTAGATGCTTGATGAGCATATTTCATTTTATTGATCGATTTAGGTTTTATTTAAATTCAAGTTAACATACACTGTACTATTAGTATCAGGGCTGGAATTTAGTAATTCATCATCAGCTGCATATAATACCCTATGCTCATTCAATAGGTATATTTATTTATTTATATTTATTATTATTATTTTAAAGATTTAACTTATTAATTCATGAGAGACACAAAGAGAGTGGCAGAGACACAGGCAGAGGG